GTGTGTGTGTTTATATACTTGTGCCCTGCCAGACTGAGTGGAGCATTAGGAATGAAGATATTCACAACTGAAGGAAGGAGAGGCAAGATGGCAAGGTGTAAAGAAGGGTGTAAAGTCCAAGGAGGGCTCTGGGACTTCTCAGGGCTTCCTGAACCTGTGATTTTTCTGCTTTCTGGTGAAATAGTAATCCAACTAACCTCTGGCAAGCCTGGCTCTGGCAACCTGCCATATGAGTAATCCCACACTTCTTCTAGTCAGGAGTCCAAGGCTAGCATTTCCGCATCACCACCATGCTATGAGCAAAGTGTCTTCTACAACTATTACTGGAAAACTGGGAATCTGTAAAAAATGATCAGAAAAATCATTATATCAATCTCACATTATTAAAAATATTGGCTGATCTTCTATAGATGGTGGGTTTTCTGGGTGAGGAAAGCTACACCATATTGGGGGCACTTACATATTGTATATTCGTGTGGCAGGACTTTTAATAATATATCCCATACATCCCATTTGCGAGGGGCAGGAGGAGAAACTACCAGTTTTAGTCAGACACATTTTCTATTCTGCATGAGTGATGCAATTCCTGTCTGAAGAGCCAGGCTATTGTCCTGCACTCTACCCCATCCTCCTCTGCTGCTTCTCTTGGGATTGTCATACCCGTCTCTCCAAGAACATGCCTTTTTTTCTTTCCATTCACTTGGCTTCATTTCTGCTCTCTTTCTTCCCTTGTCATAAACCCAGGCTATCATTGCCACTTCCTGGAGCTACTCCCTAGAACAGGTCCCCAAAAGAACTCTATATAATCTAGTTTTTAAAGCCTATTACTGGCAGAAAATACTGTGTAAAAGGCAGTATTACATTAGCCCCTTCCAGTGTCTCTATCCAGATACTGAATTTTGTTATCTTATACTCATCCCAACTTACTCCCAGTCTCAATGGTTTTGAACCATAATCACTTATTTTTCCTCCCCCTCCTACAGGTTATGCTGGGTTTCGGGCGACTGCAGGCCCTCTACCGGAGCCGGCAGCTTGCTAAACAGTATGAAGCAACCCGGGCTTATATCATCAGGCTTCAAGCCATGTGCCGTGGTTATCTAATGCGTCAAAAGATAGCAGAGCAGAAGAAAGCTGTATGTATTATACAGGCATATGCAAGGGGCATGTTTGCTCGCCGAATCTACCAGAGGATGAAGAGGGAGGTATGCTCACAGATACCTGTGAACATGTTGTTTCTATGAAGTTCTGATGGAGATTTAATGACCAGCAAGTCTTGCCATAGCATAGCACTGGATGTGGATATTTATTTTGGGATATTTTATTTAGCTCTTGTCAAGTATGAAAGCAGAGTTTTAAGCAGACGATCTTGTTTATGTTTGCTTTCTGTGTTCATTATCGTGGATCAAAAATTCACTGACAGAGCTGAAATGTTTTTGACAGAAGGGAGGAAAAAAGGTAAGATGTATATGTGTATCAGTCACTCCTGCAAGGGAAGACCAGGATCCATTCAAAAGGGAATCCTAATGCAGTGTGTCTTGGTATGGGCTGCCAAAGAAAATCCTGTACTTACTACTCTGGTGGTCCATAGTCCATTGAAGGCCTTTCTATGATTTCCTTTCTGTATTTATGCTGTTCAAACAGGATAAAGCCAGTTTGCAGATTTCTGCCTGTGGCCTGTTCCCTAAAATGCCAAATCTAGAACTGAGTCCATGTTGGGATAAAGTCCCGGTGTGGACAGCTTGTTAACGGCAGAAGGGAGCGGGCTCAACAGTTGGGGAAACAGTAACAGAATGGTCCTGTTGTCTGCAGAACAAATGCAAGCTGGAAGCCAGGAATATCCGCTTGGAAGAAGAGAAACGTCTCATCCAAGTCCTTGGACCAGTGAGAGCAAGGGAAGAAGCTATGAGATTAGAAAAGGTAAGCATGGTGGTGGAGTAACACTGAATGCTATGTTCCTTGGCTGACAAGATGGCTTGCCCAGCTCACACTTGCAGACTTGTTCTAAGATCTAAGCACTGCTATATTTTAATAAAAAGTAGACATAGTTGTAAACCTGTTTGTAATGATGTTTTAGAAATGGGACAAGGCAAACACATGCATGTTTCTGTTTGCAGTGTGAGCTGGCACTTTAGCCAAACATACACAATGCTATTACAGTTCCCTGACACAAAATATTTTTAAATTTTAAATAATTTGGGTTTTTTTCTGCTGTTTGGAATTCTGTGGTTTCCCTGTATTATCTCTTGTTGATAAAGTTCTTGAAAAGCTGCACATCATTACCAATAGGCCAACAGTCTATAAGGACAGCTCTAAGAGCAAGGCCCTGCTGCTGACGTGCTAGGTCTTTGTGACTGCTTAGCACAAGCAACATTTGACTGCACATTCCAACACTGCACTAGCAGAGCTGGACCTCACTGTCATTACACCTTTGTAATAGTGTTTCATCCTCGCACCCATTCATTCTAGCAGAATGACGTTTCAGTCATGCCTAACCAGCTTCTATGTTTAAAGGAACACCTGGCTACTCTGGAGAGAGAGGAGGCAGAAGCAAGACAAAGGAGGAATGCTCTTGCCAATAAACCAAGAAATCATGATGTTATCAGTGACCAAGAAATGGTAGATAAAATTTTTGGGTTTTTACCTTCTATGATTGGAGGCCAAGAAGGACAGGCTCCTCTGGGTTTTGAGGTACGGAGTTGCAGACTGGTAATGTGTCACGTTCATCCCTCACGTAAGTCCATTGACTGTTGGAATTCCATCGGTGGTCAATTCTATTTAATGAACTTCTGTACAGTGAAAGAATCACCCAAATTAGTAATCCAGACAGTCTCTTTGGGATCTGCTTTCAGAGTCAGTTCCTAAAAGTTTTTGGTCTCATGCAGTTTGGGGACTATGTGTCTTCAAAAGCTACTGCACATTTGTTTCTTTGACCCAGCAGACCCACACCAAGTAGTGCCATTCTCTGCATTTTGGCACCATCCACATGTTTTGCTGACAGTACTCTCAGTGATTTTCTGGCTGAAACAAGCTGGAAGTTCATGACCCAAGTTATCCCATGTTCTTAAAAGTAAAATTTGAGATAAACTGGTCTTGACAGCTGTGGAGGATGGAATCATGTAGAGAGAGGTAAGGCAGAGTAGAATGGCCTGGGTTAGTGCAGGATGTGAGCAGATATAGCACCTGGATTTTCCATCAGCAATGTTCTTGCTGATGGACCAAGACCAAGACAGGAAGGTCATGTGGAATGGATGCATCTCAGAAGGACAAGCTCTGAGTCCCAATGATCTGTTCGTAGCAGCTGAAAATGGCTTTGGGGTTAGCTGGAAAGCCAAATTCTGGAGGACCTATGACCAAGGAAGAAAAAATAAAAAATAAAAAACACCAACATAAAATAAAAATATCAGAATACAGGGAAAGAAAATATGCTTCTTCCTCATGTTCTGCACAGGACTTGGAAATGAAGCTTAACAAGCTGGATGAGGTGGACCTGGACATGGTTCCCATGAGTGTGGAGCTAGAAGAGGAAGCAGATGGCTTGGAAGAGTACACCTTCCCAAAGTTTGCAGCTACTTATTTCCAGGGGTCATCTACACATACACATATTCGGAGACAGCTGCGACACCCTCTGCTCTACCATGATGACAAGGACAACATCCTGGTATCTTACTCCTTGTTTTTGTTGAACCTGCTCCCTCCACAGCCCTGGCTTCTACAGCTCTCTTCATCCTTGGGTCCCCCCACCTCTGGCACAGCCCTGGGAACTTTAGAGCCAAGCAGATAGTCCTAAGCACTTGCATGAAAGTAGTAGTTCCCATCAGCATGTTTTGGCACTTTGCAGGCAGGCACTTCACACAGATACCTGCCCAGCACAAGATCTCTAGTTACTTTTAGCCTGTCTAAAGAGGGAACTCTGAGGCTTCTTTTGACTTCTCCAGATACCCTTTGGTGGCAAAAATGGATTGGAGTGAAGAAGTGTCAGAGCTCGCCCATTCCTCTGCTCTTGTTGGGTGACTGGCCTGTGAGTTACGACAGAAGGGTATGGCCCAGGCCTCCAATTTTCTGTTGAACCATAGGAGGATTGAGGAGAGGAGTTTTCCTTGATGCTAAGTAGCCTTGCAGAATGGAGTATCCCATATTACTTGTCTTTGTAGTTCTGGGCATGAGGGCTCTTTGAAGAGTTCGCTCCACTGCTTGTCTGTCCAGGTGGGTAAATGCAGAGTGTAGTTCAGCCAAGGTTTCTCCACCTCAGTCCAGCGAGAGCACACCTGCAAGGTGCCAGTAAAGGGAATGGTGAAGGCTCAGCAATCACAGAGCAAATCTGACGCTCCCACTAGAGCTGCATCCTCTTTCTGTAGAATGAGAGTGTTGCGAACATTGCTCTCATGTTGTTTGACATGAAAGTAAACTTCTGGTGTAAACGGTGGGAGGAGACAGGAATTTTAGCAGCTTGGACTGGGTAAAGAAAGAAACTGCATGAGGCCACTGGTTCTCTTGGCAGTTTCTGACTGTGCTTTCTGCCACTACAGGCTTCTCTAGTCGTGTGGGTTATCATCCTGAGGTTCATGGGGGACCTGCCAGAGCCAGCAATGTTTGCCAAGAATGCCACCACCAAGAGCAGCTCCATGATGACACAGATACATGACACCCTTGGCAGGAAAAACCAGGTCCAGTTCAGGAAAGACAGCCCAAATATGGTGAGAGGAGCATGATATGTTTGTATTTTCATTTGCTTTCCTTGGTTTCTGTGCTATTCTCCCAGGTGTGAGAAAAACAAAGGAACCCTTTCATGCTACTCTACTTGAAATGCCAGAAGTGCCAAAGGGCCCCTGTCAGTCCTGGAAGGACACTGCAGCTCCTTCTGGCAAGAGAGGACAAAACAAAAACATCTCCATTTGAGCATTTTTCCTTCCTTAATGAATACATTCTTGCTGTGCATTAAACTAATTTCCTATAATGGTAATGTGTGTTGTAGAGAGAATGCAGAAAGGATAACAAGATTTCCAAGGGGATCTCTTCCCTGAAGCTGAAACGGTCATCCAAGTTGACAGGGAAGGTAAGAGGTGGAAATAAATTGCTTCCCCTAAGTCTTTTTACCTGGAGCCCTGTCTTCACCTTCTGACAGATGTTATGTGACAGCAGCCTTGCAGCTGGGAACTTGTTCCACTGCCAAGCCAGTGCAGCCCTGTGTATGGGATACCTGGTGCACTGTTCTTTTAAAACTATCCCCATGTGCACTGCTGTCATTCTTTCTCTGATGAGAACTGTTGATATTACAGAACAGTTTGCCCAAAGCCCTTAGCAGACTGAGAACCACCATGGGCTCAGGGCTGTACAGGACAGTAGAAGAAAGTTCTCCTAGCCAGTAATAGTGCTGTAACACCGCATTTTATGAGTTAGCTTGAGAGAGGGAGGAAATGTGGTCTGTTCCTAATTGCTCGTGCACTGAGCAGAAAGAGTTTTAGCCAGAAAGATAGAGAAGGAATGTGTCTCATTTCTGGGAGAGCTGCCTGGTAAGAGGGGAGGTTTCTAGAGCACTCTGGGGTTCTGTTTGGTTTCTTTCAGGTGACAGACCAGCTGAGAAGTGGAGAAGAGGCTTTCCAAGAGGACAGCTCGATCTCCGAGAGACCTATGTCCAACCTAGAAAAAGTGCACTTCATTATTGGCAATGCAATTCTGCGCCCTGCCATCAGGTAGGAAATTTGTACCTCTAGGACCAGGCACCCATTACATCAAGAAAATTCATCATCCCCTTTCCACAGTTCCAGGGCATTTTCCAAATGCAGGAAATGTCTCACATTTATCTCTGGGGATTCCTGACTGAAAGCCCAGGCTAGTCACATAGAACTGAGACTGTAGGCCACACACCTCTTTGTAGGATGGTTCACTTTTATCAGAGGGGGCAGAGAACAACTCCCTTAGTGCCTTTTCTGGTATCTTCATCTCATAGTTTAGGTCAGCTGCCTCCATGTATGGCTTTCTGAAAACCCCACAGATATGCAATAGGGCAGAGCTCAGGACTGTAACCCAATAACACCTGAAGGTGGAACACAGCCCTAGTATGAGGGAGAAGAGACATTCAGAAGAGACAATAAGAAGTATGTAGTTAATATACACTAGGTGTTTGAGAAGTATTCATAACCTCAGTTTCCCAACAACCTGAACCCTCCAGCAATGTCCCCTAATCAGAGATGGTTGAAGGCCTGGCTTGCTGAATGTATCAGCCACTAGAAGAAGAAATCCTGCTTACAAGTGGTGTGAAAATGGACCTTAGGCCAAACATGGTACGAGGATGAGACAGAAGCTGGTTGGTTCTGACCTGACCCCATGAATTCTCTCCTCCATTTTAGCTTATGCAACACTTTTCTGTAACAAAGCCCATAGGCACAGGCCCTGCCTTGACCTCAGTCATGGGCTGCATTCCTCTCTACATAGTTTCTTTGTTTCAGTCAAGATGCTCCCAGAAGCAGATCCTCAACTGGCAAAAATTGCCTTCAATAAATGTATCATAACAGCCAAAGACTAAGTATCTACTCCCTCAGTGCTTCATCACATGTCCTATCTGGGAACAAAAACCTCACCCACCTTGTGTCCTCCCACATCAGATTTGCCAAATGTGAGTTCCAAGAGTCCAGAAAATTTAGGATGATTTTTAAATAGCAGTTTTGTTTGTATGCAGATTTTTGCATCTGCATCCCATATGTCCTTGCTGCAGGCAACCTGCATTTTCAGAAGCTCACTCTGAAGCGCCCTGTCCTCCATTCCTGTCCAAGGACTCACTCCAAATTTACTAAAAATATAGAATCAAGCAGGATGTCCCCCCATCCTTATCCCAAAATCCACATATGAGGAGACAAGAGCCATGAGATACAAGCCACATGCTCTAGTGAGCTTAGAGTACGTTTCAGATGTGGAGGGACAGCAATGCCATTTCACAGCTGAATGACCTGGCACTTATTGCTGCACAGCCCCCCTGCTTGTCACAGGAGGTAATCCAGCATGGGAATTGCACTTGAACTGCTCAAGTAACGAGGGGTGGCAAAGGGCACTAAGTATACCTTGAACCTTTTCCTGCCAAAGCCAATGACAGTTATTTTCTGTGGCACATTACAGGTGGTATCCTAGCTAACATGGTTAAACCTAGCTCAGATCTACTTCATCATGCTGCAATCATGCCAACCCTGCAGTGGAAACGTAGCCAAAGACAGTTCAGACAGTGAATCATTATCTGTTGCTTTCACATGTTTTATTACAGAGACGAGATTTATTGCCAGATTTGCAAACAACTCACTGAAAACAGCAACAGGAGCAGCTATGCTCGAGGCTGGATCCTTCTGTCACTTTGCCTTGGTTGCTTTCCTCCTTCAGACATATTTGTGAAGGTACACTACTAACCGTTCCTACATCAGCTTAAATGCCTTAGCTGATCTGGTTTCTTGGGTATTTTGACGTTTTGATACAAATAGGCACATAAACTGTTTTGCTGCCATAGCAGCTGGTGCTGTGATTTTAGCAGAAACTCTCTCATCTCATATGCTTATCTGGGAATTTAAATAAATTATTGCTGTACTCACATTTAATTCTTTTTCATTACATGCCATACAAGTTGGGTTCTGTTGTTGATCTCAGCCCTCATTTAGATCTGTAATCTGCAAAGAATTTGGCAAATTTTATCCTCTCCAGTTCTGCCTTTCCAACATTTAAAAGCTGTCTCCAGTTACAATCCTAGTGATTAAATATATGCAGAAGTCCAGTATAAAATCACTTCCCGTATTTTACCAGTTCTTACCCTACATCTCCAAGCCCTACAAAATCCAGTTGGGCTTCTTCATCATTTTCTTAGATACATTAATTTCCAAATTTAAATGGATGATAAATCCAGTTCATCAGAGAAAAAAAACCAGAACAACCTGTGGCTCCAACTTGACATCCACCTTCCTCCTAGGTCTTAGAGGCAAACAGAATCCATAGATATCCCTGAATCTTCAGCCTTGCCTTACTGACACCCTAGCTCAAATGATTAATCTAATCATAAATTCTGCCAAGTGGTCACTACTTGTAACAAACCATACACAAGCCATAGACATATTTTGACACCAAAGTCAATGCAGAATTCACAAAAGACCTGACTTCCTCTAGTTCTCTTTTCCTAAATCCATACTCTATCTCTAGGAATATCCTTAATACTTAAAATAACCCAGTGACTGGTCCATGCTTGCACTAAATGCAAGTACGTAAATACAAGTCCATGCTCATACCACATCATCGAAGATAACAAGACAACAAACTCCAAAAGTTCAGTTTATCTAATCCTTCTCTTCCAATGCCCCATCTTAATTGTGGACTTCAACTATTGATATTGCCAGAGAACTTAGCAAAACTAAAGTAACCATAATCAGCAGCCCTAACCTACAATTCGCCCTCTCCCCAGCACTTCAGTTAGTACAGAATGTCACAAGACTTCAGGCTTTTCAAATGGAAACACTACCCCTTGCTCTAATCATAAGAATAAAGTCTCCACTGTCTAATATTCATCATACAGTTAAACATAGCGATTAGACTGACACAAGCCTTCCTCTTTAGTCTAAAAGCTTTGCAGAGTAAGGGAAAACTTGGTGTCTCAGACCTCCTTTTCCAAAACACTAATCCCAACCCTAACCTTTAACACTTTCTGGTGAACTGTAAGCTAACTGATCAACTATAATGTAGTCTATAAACTGCAGAAGGTTTCTAGTGCTTTATGAGGATTAGTGTTTCCTAACTCTTTCTTATGCTTTGTGCATGTAGTACCTGTTGAATTTCATCCACCATGGGCCCACAGGCTATGCACCATATTGTGCTGAACGTCTGAGACGTACCTATGTTAATGGAGCACGGACTGAACCTCCGAGCTGGCTGGAACTTCAGGTAGCAACTCTCTTTTTGATAATTTATATTGAACTGTGTTATTTTATGCTGGATTGTATTTACTAACCTGTGCTAACAGATCTACCTAAGTCAAATAAAGGAAATCAATTGCACACAAGGGGATTGAAGACCAGCTGCCTTGTTCTGGACAGCTTCTTAGATACACCTCTTCTGGCTGTTCAGTTAGCCTAAACCCAGTGGAGGATGTAAGTTAAAAGCTGCAACACATTATTTGCAGGGAGATACCTTCATCCACTCAGGAGCCACGGGCCAGAACCACCTCCTGACAGAAGTTCTTACCAACATTTCTGGAAAGAACTGAACAGGGCTTATGCTTTTAAAAAACGGAGGGAGGAATTGTGTATGATAGGGCTACATCGCCCTCCCCCTTCCTTTAAATGTCACCCTACTAATTGGAAGTCACACACACACGCACACATACCCCTCCTTAGGTGAAGACCTCAGTTTAATTCCTTCCTAAATCTGAGTGACCCCATCGCCTAACACACACCTTCCTGGGCAAAAGGCTTGCTGCAGGCCATGTCTCCACTGATGCATATAAGGCAAAAGTCATCAGGCCAAATAAGGCTCATGAAAAGTCTATCAGTCTACACTGTTGTGTGATAATCAGCTCCCCTGAGCTGTGGGGAAGAGGGAACTTGATTCCAGTCCTGCTCCAGTAATTTATATTTAAGACTCACCATGCATTGAAGAAACTCTGTGGAGTTGGAGATTCACTTAAAGATTGTTGACTAGGTTGTACAGTGTGTGGAGCTCTTAAATCTAAATGCCTTATTAATTCTTCACAGAAAAGTAAGGTTTACCCATAATTTCTTTCTCTTATTTGACTCTGACTTACAGGCAACAAAGCAGAAGAAACCCATTATGTTTAATGTCACCTTGATGGACGGCCAAAGCATCACTGTTCCTGCAGACTCTGCTTCCATTGCCAAAGAGATCTGTCAGTTTATAGCAGATAAAACCAAACTGAAGGATGTGTTCGGTTTTTCACTCTACATTGCTGTGTTTGATAAGGTACTGTGTAGAAAAATAGAATGAAAGTTCCCTCTGACTTCTGGAAGCACCCCCATCCCAGTCCTACACTCAGACCAAATCAGTTTTGAATACCAGTGAATCTCAGGAGCTGATAAATCCTATTCTGCCTTTCTGCTGGCTACCCACTTAGCAATTCCTACTGCAGGCCTATGAAGTTTCCTTTGCCAGGTCACATAATTGATTATGGCCCCCCATGCATGGGCAGCGCAGCACTGTGGTCTCCCCACCACGTTCTGGGATCCCACTTGCTCGTCATGCATGCAGCACTTCAGAACTGCTGGAGCAGGGTGAAACTAGCAGGTCTCACGTGCTAGGGAGCTCTGCTCAAAGACATATTTCCCACCTGCACTGCTGCACATAACTTTTTTGTCCTGCTGACGCAGCCCCTATCATGTGGCATTAAAAGCCAAGGTCTTTGCCAGGGCTGCTGCTGTTTGCTCACATGCTGGCATTTTAGTCTCTCATTCCCTTTGCTTTTTTTACAGTAATGCTGGAAAACTTACACAGCAGGATGACATCTTGGTGCTCAGAGTTAGGCACCAATAGCAAAGAAAGAAATTCAGAGATAGCATTTTTGTTTAGATTACAGCAACACTTGAACATGCATTTAAGGGAATATACGGGGGACAAACAAAGTACAAGGAGACAAATAGAAAATTGTAAACCAGAGCTGCTTTGTCTTAACTTCCAACTTATTTTTCCTCATACCATCCTTGTGCATAAAAATATACACATTTACCGAAGTACTACTTGCACATCCATCTGCTTACCTTTTCAGAGTTTTTCTTGCTGTCAGGAGACCAGAAGCTTTGGGTTTGTTGCCCTTCACCCAGAGTCAAAGCAGGTATGCTAGTAAATGCAGCATGCCTTTGTTCTAGGTCTGGTCACTGGGTGGGGGACGAGATCATGTCCTGGATGCCATCTCTCAGTGTGAACAGCTAGTGAAGGAGCGGGGCACGCACGAACGCAACGCGCCCTGGAGACTCTACTTCCGAAAGGAAATCTTCACCCCCTGGCACAACTCCCAGGAGGATCCTATCAGCACTGATCTCATTTACCACCAAGTCATTCGTGGCATCCGGTTTGGAGAGTACCGTTGTGAGAAGGTGGGTCTCCTTATTGATCCTCCTAAAGAGAAAAAACTATATATTAACATTTCCCATGTTAAAAGGCAGGAAAACAAATGAAGTTTCTAGTAGCTGTGAACAACCCTTCCTTTCTTAATGAACAATTCCTGTCCAGGTGATTGTGCCAGCTGTCACACTGGCAGCTGTAATTAATACTTTTTTTTTTCCTGCAACTTGCAGTTCATGTGGCAGCTGGAGACACGTCCAAAGGGGCAGTTTGGGTCCTTTTAAAATATCTTTGCTAATAATCTCTTTGATGCTATGATTGTGTGAAGTTCATCTCCCCTTATGCTGGATGACTGTCAAGAGTTATCCAGACAAAAATGGAGAAAACCTCTTTCTTAAACTGGCTTCAAGGTTTAATGAGCCTATCTGGACTTTGTGATATCTTTCTAGGCCTCTTTTAATGGATTAATTGTTTCAGGAGGAGGATTTGGTGGAGATAGGTGCAAAATATTGTTACATCCAGTTTGGAGATTCCATTCACAATGAACTTGTGCAGAAGGTGCTCCATGACTGTATCCCAGTGAAACAGCTGAAGTCCAAGCCCCTGGAAAAGTGGGTGAGCCTTATAACCTACGCACATGCTAAGGTAAGAGGTTTGTCTGGCACTGCTGGGTAATCACTCTTGAGCACCAGCTTCTGCTTCTTTCACCATTTTCATTTATGAATAGTCTTGTTGGGGGAAGAAGGAAAAACATGTCTGTCTGTATATCCCAAATAGTTAATTAGGGCTGGGGGAGCAAAGAACCTTTCCCCTGACTCTTCCATATAGGGCTCAGCAGGGTGGTCAGAATGAAAAAAGTACATTTAAATCTCTGAATAGAGTATCTTTTAAGGCTCTCTATCTTCCATCTGACAACTAGATGGGCATGAGATGGACTATTGGTTTTGATCTGGAAATGGATGACCAGAATTATTTCCATGCCATCCAAAGTATGTTAGACTCTGAACAGATCAGTCAGTGGGGATATGAGGAAAATTTGGAATCCACATGCCTGTGGGCAGCCTCAGCTGCATGTGATTTGGGGCCCCAGAGGCTGTTCCTGATTTCACTTTCTCCAGGTACCCTTGACACTAGTGGCAAAAGAGGGCTGTTGGGAACCTCTGGGATCAAGCCTGCTCTTTATTGTCTGCAGATTATGCAAACCAGATTTTACTCAGAAAACCTTGGGTATCTTTTTGTACTGCAGGCCCCATACACACAGGACCGTCTCTCCCGTCAGACTGTGAAGGAACAACTTGTAGATTTTGCTCGCTTTCAGTGGCCTTTGCTTTTTTCCCGATTCTTTGAAGTCACTAAGTTTTCAGGTAATACCTGGAGTCTGGGAGTAGAGGACAGATATAAGATCAGTAGAAGAGGACTTGCATAGCATTGATAAGGAGTTTTCTTCTGCATTTTCAGGTCCCAGCTTGCCCAAGAACCACTTTATTGTTGCCATAAATTGGAAAGGTATCTGCTTCTTGGATGAGTCAGAAAAACGGCTCCTTGAGCTGACCTTCCCAGAGATAACTGGCATCCACACCAACAGGTGAGTGCCCCAGAAAGACAAGATCTGAAGAAGACATCTCTGTCCATACTCAGAAAGGAAGTGTACTTTCTCTGCCATTCCCCTAGATGCTTTGATCTGAGCCTGGAAAGGTGGTTTAGCCTAGGTCTGTGAAATAGAAAGGGATGAGTTCTGAGCAGCCTCTAAAGGAAATACTGAAATGGCTGAATCTTCCCAGCTGGTGCAAGGAAAGATAATCCTGTTCAGTCAGAAAGGTGTAAGGAAGCACAGACATGCATCAAGACAAGAATGGCCCAAATGACTAACATAGTTAAGCCTTTATCTGTTATGCATACTGAGAGTTCGTATACTTCTCAGGTGTGATGGACCTGAAAAGGATAACTGAAGGAAAGAGGGCAACCATTGGCTTGCTCAGAGCACACATCCTTGCATCAGATCACTCGGAGAACAGGGTCTTACATGCACAAAAAATACAGAATCACAGAATCGCAAGGGTTGGAAGGGACCTCAGGAGATCATCTAGTCCAACCCCCCTGCTAGAGCAGGCTCTCCTAGAGCAATCTACACAGGACTTCATCCAGGCAGGCTTTGAATATCTCCAGAGAAGGAGACTCCACAACCTCCCTGGGCAGCCTGTTCCAGTGCTCTGTCACCCTCAAAGTAAAGAAGTTTTTCCTCATATTCAACTGAAACCTCTTATGTTTCAGTTTGCACCCATTGCCCTTAGTCCTGTCGCTGGACACCACTGCAAACAGACTGCTTCCATCCTTGTGACTTCCGCCCTTAAGATATTTGTATGTGTTGATAAGGTCCCCTCTCAGTCATCTCTTCTTCAGGCTGAACAAGCCCAACTCTCTCAGCCTTTCCTCGTAGGGGAGGTGCTCCAGTCCCTTTGTCATCCTAGTTGCCCTCCTCTGGACTCTTCCTAGGAGTTCCTCATCTTTCTTGAACTGGGGAGCCCAGAA